TTACTCAAATCCTCTCCCCCTCAAGAAAATCACTGCAAAGAGGACTCAGATTTTTTTTTTTTTTTTTTTTACAACATGGGTAAACCAAGACTTTTAGGGCATAATTTGGCACTGAAGAGATATCCAGAAAAAATAGAATTTGTACTGGGCTACTTTTTCAGTTTTATTAAAAATTCCATTTTGAACTTTGAAAAATATAGATTATCCATTTAAAATAAGATGAACAGGGTGAATTCTAACTTCATCTTTTAGGTGCAGCTTTGGGCCACTTATTGCTTTTTCCTCCCATATTTCAGTGTATGTCATTGTGACAGATTCAGGTATCCAGAGAGCAATGTTTACAAAACTTCTGTTCTCCTATGGCTTTTACCTGAAAGACCTTCAGTCTTCTCCTGCCTAAGAGTTAAATATACTGTAACACAACTGAAGCTGATTGGCTCCGTTGCACACTGAAGGCATTGAGAAAGTACAAAGACTGAAAAGTGCCAGTTGAAGGGACTTTTGTGGGTCTTGTTTTCAGGGCGTCTTATGTGTCTTTGAAGCAAGTGGCTTACTGAGATTTTGAAGCCAGGGCAAACCGGAAACATATGAGTGTCAAGAGCTCTCACAGACCCACCCAGGTGACAGGTCTTATAAAGCAGAGCTCAGAGCCAGCACCTCTTACTGGTCTCTCCTGACTCTAACCTGTATTTGAAGATCCACAGAGTACCCGGGGATGACCCATTGCAGTGCAGTTCTCCAACCTTCCCCAAACCCTGATGAAGAATAGAGGTTAGAAGGTCAGCGCCATTTTGTCCAACAAGAAATCCTTTTGGTTTTATATTCAGCTGCTAAGAAGGGTTTAGAATACCCCTGTGATTACTAAAGCATGTAGGAAGAAGCATGGTATCAAAAAGTTCGGTAATTGTCAAAGGCCTGTAATTGACACAAACAGATACTGTAGCTGGGGTGGATGGGAGGGGGCGGATTGCCATGGCTGCTGCCAATATTATCATGTGGAGGTAAGAAGGCCATTCTAGACAGTAAATCCTAAAGATATTGCACTCAAAGACTCTTCCTCTAGACACCACCTGAGCAAAGTCCAGGTCTCAAAAATAAGGACCAAAAGTAAGAAGAAGATTCTCCAGCAAAGGTCAAAACTATGAGACATAGACACATGGGATATGAGGAAGATGAGCCAGACTTGACCAGGATGATTCCCTTTTTACTTTGGCTACATTGCCAGTGATTTCACAATAAGATTTCCAGACATTCACACGAGCATCCACTGCTTAGCCTTTTCAGTCTGTAATCAGTTTCATCTGCCATTGAGTGCAAACCCTGCACATTTGTAGCAACCCTCAAGTTTCTCCCCCTCCCATCTCTTTTCTCATAAAAAATTCTACTTCACCCCCATCATCTGTCTTTCAAAATATTCCTCAGGAGTTTTAAGTGTGTTTCCATTTGTAATCCAAGGACCCCTTTGCTTCTGGTTGGATCATGGCTTCTGGAGCCACTTCCATTACAAAAGCAGGACCCTTGTGCTTGGCAG